ATCTAATTAACGAATTCAGTAAAGTCACAAGATACAAAATTAACATACAGAAATTGGTTGCATTGGTTACTATACACTAAAAATGAATTATCAGAAAGAGAAATTAAGAAAGCAATCCCATTTACAGGGCATCAAAAAGAATTAAGTACCTAGGAATAAATTTTACCAAGGAGGTGAAAAACCTGTACTCTGAAGACTCTAAGACACTGGTGAAAGAAACTGAAGACAGCACAAATTGTCTTAAGATATACCATGCTCATGGATTGGAAGAATTAATATTGTTAAAATGTCTGTACTACCTAAAGGTATCTACAGAATCAATACAATCCCAATCAAAATACCAATGGTATATTTTCACAGAACTAGAACAAAGGATTCTAAAATTTGTATGGAACCACAAAAGACCCTGAGTATCCAAAGCAATCTTGAGGAAGAAGAACAAAGCTGGAGGTATCACAAGCCCAGATTTCAAACTATATTACAAAGCTATAGTAATCAAAACTGTATGGTACTGGCCAAAAAACAGATACACAGATCAATAGAATAGAACAGAGACCCCAGGTATAAATCCACACACTTATGGTCAATTATACTATGACATTAGATTATGCCTTCAATAAATGGTGTTGGGAAAACTGGGCCACTATCTTACACTCCATAGAAAAATAAATTCAAAATGGATTGAAGACTTGAACGTAAGACCTGCAACCATAAAACTCTTAATAAGAGAACATAGGCAGTAAGCTCTTTGACATCTATCTTAGCAATATTTTTTTGGACCAGTATCCTTAAGCAAGGGCAACAAAAGCTAAAGTAAACAAGTGGGTTTACATCAAACTACAAAGATTTTACACAGTGAAGGACACCATCAACAAAACGAAATAGGAACCTACTGAATGGGAGAAGATATTTGCAAATTATACATCTGATAAGGTGTTCTATCCAAAATAGATAAAGAACTTACACAGTTTATTATAAAAAACCCCCGAACTCCTGGATTAAAAAATGGGCATATGACTTGAATAAACATTTTCCCAAAGAAGACATACAGATGGCCAATAGGTATGTGAAAAGATTCTCAACATCACTAATTATCAGGGAAATGCAAATCAAAATCACAAATCAAAATCACCTCACACTTCTCAGATTGGCTATTAACAGAAAGACAAAAAAAAAAATCACAAGTATTAGTGAGGATGTGGAGAAAAGGGAACCCTTATACACTGTTGGTGGGAATATAAACAGGTGCAGCCACTGTGGAAAACAGTGTGGAGTTCCTCAAAAAGTTAGAAATACAACTACCATATGATCCAGCAACTCCACTTCTGGGTATTTAACCAAAGGAAAAAAAAAACAACACCAATTTGAAGAAACATATGCACCCTTATGTTCATTATTTACAGTAACCAATATATGGAAGCCACCTAAATGTCCATCAACAGATGAACAGATAGAGAATATGTGAGATATGTGTATATGTATGTATATATCACATACACATACATACAATAGAACTTTGCTCAGCTGTAAAACCATATGAAATGTTGCCATCTGTGACAACATGAATGAAACTAGAGGGTATTATGCTAAGTGAAATAAGTCAGATGGAGAAAGACAAATACTGTATGATCTCACTTATATGTAGAATCTAATAAAACAAACAAAACAAAACAGAAACTGACTTATAGATACAGGAAACAAACTGTGAGTCACCTGAGTGGGGAGGGTTTGGGGGGGGGTGATTGGAATAGATGATGGGTATTAAGAGATACAAACTTTCAGTTATAAGATAAGTAAGTCACAGGATATAATATTTAGCACAGAAAATACAGTTAATGATATTGTAATAACTCTTTATGGTGATGGATGGTAACTACACTTAACAAGAGGATCGTTTTGTAATGTATAAAAATACGGAATCATTATGATGTACACTTGAAACTAATAGAATACTGTATGTCTATTATACTTCAACAAAAATAATAATAAATAACAGGCAAGTAACTGTTCTTCAGAATCTCCTGAGTAACCTGGCGTTTACCAGCTGGGCTCTTTGGAGGTAGAAAGCCAAGGAATAACTTTTCCTAAAAGTAACAACTCCCCAGAAAAGTAAATAGTTCATTTATGTTATCTAATATCTTCACCATTCATTTCAATTGTTGCTTTTTACACTCACTTGTGGTATTTAATTGGTTATTCAGGATGACATGCAAGATCTGAATAAGTCAGGACATCTCAGAAACAACTCAGTGTCCTTGGGAAAGTATAATGCAAGATTTTCCCCCATCCCTTATTTCTAAAAGGACTAAATTCCTTGAAATCTAAGTAGTGAGCCAGTCATTTTTACACTGATGTACATATTCTCTGCCACTTTTCCTCATGTGTTTCCTTCTCTGGTTTTGCTAAAACATTGCAGCTGCATGGAACCTTAAGAGCATCTCCTGTGAGAGGAAAAGTAGCAAACACTGTCTGAAGCTCTATGAGAGGGAATGTATTTTCTACAAAGCGGGATTCATAAGAGCTTTTCCCAAAAAAAGACATACATACAGATATATGTGTGTCTATATACAATATATATAAAATAGACATACAAATATATATGTATAGAATTACACAAATTTATATATTATACATATACAATACATATATTATACATATACAATATGTGTATGCAATATGTATAATATCTATTATACATATACGATACATATATTATATACAATATGTGTATGCAATATGTATATCTATTATACATATACGATACATATATACAATATGTGTATGCAATATGTATATCTATTATACATATACGATACATATATTACACATATACAGTATGTATGTGTATACAATATGTATATCTATTATACATATATGATACATATATTACACATATACAATATGTATGTGTATGCAATATATATCTATTATACATATACGATACATATATTACACATATACAATATGTATGTGTATGCAATATGTATTATATACAATACATATATTATACATAGACGTGTGTGTGTGTGTGTGTGTGTGTACATATATTTGTATGTATACATAAACAGCAGGGGGAAAGTACCAGATGAAGTGTGATTACATCATGCTCCTAGAGGCCTGGTCTTAAGTGTATTTAGCAGTTCGATACAAGCCTCAAAATATTTCAAGAGAAGAAGTGACACTGCGCACCCCAGGATACACAGACAATTCGGACGCAGACTATGAGCACGTGACAGAACTCCTCACTTTGCTTTTTAGTAACACAGTGACAGACATTTATGATCTCCAGGAGGAAATTTCTGGGAGGAAATCTAACTCATACAAGAAATTTCAAACTCTTTCTTGCTGCAGAAAATGAGCCTACCTTCTCTTAAATAGCTTATTATGCCTTCATTCCTTCCTGCTTTCTCTTCTAGCCACCCACACCTCTCCTGCCCAAGACCCTTCCGACGTACTTATACTCTAATTTCTAGTTTCTCTCAGCTCTGGGATGTAGGGTTTGCATTCTGCAACTTGGTTATCACTCACCACTGTTAGAAGAATCACTCCTGCCCCTTTAGTATTATAGTATGAAATTCCTGAGGTGAGTAACTATTATTATATATTTCCATATCCTCCATGGTGCTTTGGATACTATATATGATTATTAAGTGCTTTTTTTAAAAAAAAATCATCTGGCTTCTCTTTTATCTAAGTATATGTATGCATTTATTCCTTCATTAAACATTTGTTGAGAATCTATTGGGAGCTGGGGAAATAGTGATAAAAGGCCTAGTTGCCATCTACATTTTCTAAGTGATTCCCACAGTTTCCTGAACTCTACTACATTCTGTGATTGGGGCAGCTTAGAAGCCCTCTGGCACTCATATTTACATTAAGGTAGAACATTATAATACAGTCTTGAAACGGAACAACAGAATAAAGTCTTCATGCTCTTAGGATCTTAATCACACAGCCCCACATGGATCTGCTTATTATTTTAGGCCATATACAATGTGGAGAGGATGAAGGACAGTAGAAAAATGAAAAGAGAAAATCATAATGCTTGTGCATGAAGACTAATCTACAAGGATGTTCATTTCAGTGTTATTTAAATCAGAACAGAAAGTTAGAAGTGTCCTAATTAGATAAATCATGTAGAATATTCACAGATGGGAGGAAATGCATGTAAGAGAGTGTTGAAAACATCAGTTACAGAATAGTAGGTATTTACAGTGGGTTTCTATTTTTATTTTACAAAATGCAGCGGGGGGGGGGGTTAGTCTAGAAGGTTAAACTTCAAAGTATTAATGGTGAGTATACCCAGATGGTAAGATTATAAATGATTTTCTTCTTTGAGTGTAAAGCATTTTCCAAATGATCTATAATGATCTTAAATAACTTTTGAGTCACACACAAAAAAATAGGCAATTAAAAAGAAATTTTTAAGGAATAAGGAGATCAGGAAGAGAATCGTCCCAGAATAATAGAACCATCTGAGAGAATTCACCCTTTACCTCACCGTACAGGCCTCACTCACTGATAAAGCCCACTGTAAAGGCTGTTTCTCTCCTGGCCATATGTAGGAAAATAATAGTGCACATGCATTTTGATCTACTGTCCAACTTTTGTCTCTTCAAATACATGTCTGGTAGATGAACAAACAAGAGTCACGTCTTTCTCCCTCACAAAGCACTGCTTCGTCAAGCAAGTCACAGGCTGCTTAAAATCCTTGTTATATAAATTAAAGCAAACTCTAAGACACAAGCAAATAGACAAACCCAGAAGTAAAGCCCTTTCCCAACCGACTATGTTAAAAAATTCGAAATAATATCTCCATGGTGTTTGGAAAAGAAACTCGTTTGGACAAATGGAAGGTGAGCTGAAAGGTGAAGAAGAAAATTACGGAGACAATTCCCCATGTCTCCCAATGAGGGCGCCACCGGGGCACCCTGCTTAGACCGGCAGGTTTGCTGGGTGAGAGGTAGACAGATGAAGGGTTGTCCAAGCAGAAGCCTTACCTTGGTCTGGAATGTACAGAACATGTGCGTTAAGAATGGATGCTCCCAGGCCAAAGAGAGAACTCTCTTCTCTACCATCGTGCACTCAACATCATCGTCCATCAAAACCACGTCTTTCTTTAAGGCTTTTATTGCGAAAAATTGATTGGTTTTCTTGAACTCTGCTAGGAAGACCTAGAAGGAAGGGTAAGAAGTAACTTTATTTTAGAATTTGATCTCACACTCATTAAAGAAGAGACAAAATCCTGAGAGAGGTCTGTGTTGGGTGAGAAAAGAGGATTTCTTCTCTAATTCCCCTCTATCCCCTTTAGAGAGACAAAATAGAGTACTTCACTGATTTTAGGACATTACCTAGTAGTTTCATACTTGCTTTGTGCCTTTCAAAGGATTCCACAAAACTGCTGTACAATTGGATGGGTTGTCAGTCCCTGAAAAATTCTGTTTAAAAAAGTATGAACTGTCTGCCCAGGGACCTGAGTAAATTTATAATATAAATTCCCAGAGACTAAGTGCATACTGAAGGAAGCAAGAGCAAGTAGCAGAGAGGATTTGATTACACTTGAAACATCAGTGCAAATAAGCATAAAACTTAGCTCTGAGTTTTACCCAGTTTTTCAAGGTGAAAAAAGAATACAAGGGAATAAAGCTTTCCTTATATGCTTAAAGAGTGTACCCCATTTCATCCAATGGCATAGGCACTAATGCCATTTTTAGGACCTACTACGTGTCACACACTCTGCTGTACTTCATATGTGCTATCTAATTCTTAGCTCAGGACTCTCCACAAGAGAGACAGTAATAAAAAAAAAAAAAAAACTGGGTTTAAAGAGTAACTTCACTTGCTCAAATTCATGAGCTACTCAGCGGAAAAAATATAATTCCAAATTTACTTTTTCTACTTGATTTCATGAATCTTATATGAAAGGACACCAGATGGCCTATAATGGAGAGTTTCTACAACTTTTGCTTTTGCAAATGATGCAGCAACAGACGATTGACAGTTGTGAGGACATGGCATTTGGAAACAGAAAACTCCAGCTTGGGTCTCTTTTACTAGCTGTGGGAATGTGGGCAAACCAATTAACCTCTCTGGGCTTCGGTTTCCTAATGTGTAAAAGAGATAATTGTCATGACATTCTCCAACTTGCAGGACCGTTGTGAAAATCGAATGACTACCACATGGGAAAATGATTTGGAAACCATAAAATACTCTCTAAATGACAGTTATTAAGAATACTTGTCATTTGTTTCTTGACTTTTAGGGAATGTCAAGAGCAATGACACCAAACCAGTACTGAAAATGCATGTGTCTATATTTAAAATAATATGGTGCAGATATAGAGCTTTGGGGTAGCTGGCTTGATAGAGGGCACAGAATTTAGATGGGATTGCAGGCAAATGGATGATATGCATATCCCTGGAAAACAATGCTTTCTTTTCTTCTGGCCTTCAAAGTAAATTGAGAATAAGAATATATAGAGGCCACCATTTTGGCGAGAAACCATACTTCCTATCTAGAGCCAAAAGAAATAAGAAAAACAAGATTTGGAGTATCCTCAGTGTTGTAAGAAAGGGAAATATGGCTGTCCCGTTTTGCTGTGGTGCTTTGTCCTCCTGTCTTTGGGTCTCTGCCTCGGTCTTCTCGGTCTGCAGGGACTGAGGGGCATCCTGCTTTGGACGTGGGCGGAGGGTACCTGAGGCCCTCAGTTGTCCCTGGGATATTTTTCTCAGGCTTGTAGGTTTAACCTAATGTCTTTCTTATTAACCTTGTTCAAATATAGAAACCCACATGGGAACAAAGAAAGATAAACATTTCATTAACAACGAAAAGTGCTCTTTTGGTAATTGTTTCTTTCAATAAACATCCCCAAACCAGCCATAAACTAAGAAGCTGAAAAGGCAATTTCCATCTCTATAATGGGCTTTCAATTTTTGGTAACAGGTTATAATTGCACATTAATTGATGCTAAGTTATAATGAAGACCAGCTACAAAACTGCCTATTACACAGATTAACACCAAATGAGCCTGCTGTGTTTCCTATCATTGTGGAAATGAACTAAAAGAATTAATGGATATCAGCTAGTTTGCAGGGCAGAACAGATTTTGCCAAAAGCAATGCCCTGGTGTTTAAATCCAAACCCAACTGTAGCATAATGTGATTCAGCTGTGGTGATGCTCAGTTGCATTCTGGTTTGTTATTAAATAACAAACTGGGTGAGTTTCCCAGCCGAAGTCTGGTGAGCAGGTGTGGAGCATAATGCTGGCTCTGGATGTACAAATTCGTAGAACGGTAGTCTCTGGCTAAAATTTTCCTAGGGGTTTCATCCAAGAATAAAACAACAGAGAGTGTCATTAATATAGTAGATAACCTTAATATCTAGAATAATCTCAAGGCTCATGTTCCAAGGCACCTTTCTTTACACTCGCTGGCTTGAAAATGTTTTTCCACCACTGATAGTTGATCGTTAAATTGTGTCACCTTCCTCCTTTCCTCTCATCCCTGACAGAGGCAGCCCATAACTTGTGTGTGTGGCAGGAAGGCTACAGAGGAGGGACTTCCCCATGAAACTTTTCTCATGTCTCTCAAGCTACAGCTTCGTTATGAAGTGATTTGTGTCCCCTCTGAAACATTTACCTCCTGAAGTCCTAAACCTCAGGACCTCACAGTGTGACTGTATTGGGAGGCAGGGTCTTTGCAGAGGTAATCGGGTTAAAGTAAGTTCATTAGGGTGGGCTCTACTCCAGCCTGACTAGCGTCCTTGTAAGAAGGGGGATTAGGACACGGAGCTACACAGGGGGGTGATGTGAAGACCCAGGGAGAAGGGGACTATCTACGAGCCAAAGAGAGAGACTTCAGAAGAAACAACCCTACTGACACTTAAGTCTTAGACTTCCAGCCTCCAGAAGGATAAGAAAATAAACTTCTGTCGTTCAACTCACTCAGCCTGTGATATTTGTCCTACATTTGTCCTAGCAAACTAATACAAGACTGAGGACATTTGATAGAGGAAAAAAAAAATGCAAAGTAAAACAACACTCCAAGTTTGAGAAGAGAGCAAAAGAGAAACAACAACCAAAAAAACCTGTAAGAAATAGAAACTGGCTGAGGCAGCTTTTCATCTCTTTGATGTCCAAATATACCAAACTCATAATTGTGTGGGACATACATCTTTGAATCAAAATGGATTGGAAACAATGATTCCCAGGGAAGCAGAGACCACTACTTCCTGGAGTTCCTGGGTTTCCTTATTTATTTATTTATTTATTTACTCATTCATATTATTTTTTATTATAATTTATTATGTTAGTCACCATACAGTACACATCAGTAGTTTTTGATGTAGTGTTCCATGATTCATTGTTTGCATATAACACCCAGTGCTCCATGCAGTACGTGCCCTTTTTTTTTTTTTTAAGATTTTATTTATTTATTTGACAGAGAGAGAGATAGTGAGAACAGGAACACAAGCAGGGTTGTGGGAGAGGGAGAAGCAGGCTTCCCGCTGAGCAGGGAGCCCGATGTGGGCCTCGATTCCAGGACCCTGGGATCATGACCCGAGCCGAAGGCAGACGCCCAACGACTGAGCCACCCAGGCGCCCCAACACGTGCCCTTCTTAATACTCATCACCAGGCTCACCCATCCCCCGCCCCCTCTAAAATTCTTATTCAGACCCCTCTCTATCCTGTCAGAAAATGCACAAGAATGTTCTCTCCACACCCACGACTGGTTCTCATCCCATGAGTTTAGGAGCTTTGCTTTTCAATTTCTATAATTTGGTCTGTAGAATTCTATAGTATACTATCATACCTTGCCAAAACTTCCTTTCCCCAACATTTTGTGCAAGATAAAATCCTCGATTTTTAGTTTCATATGTACAGACGGTCTTTCTATGCTTGGTTCAGGTTCTGGACGATGACACATTTTCTCCATTCCATCCAAAGGAGACTCCCAAGAGATTCCCTGAGGCTCTGAAAATAGCAAGCTAGTGGTTAAAAGTGAACAAGAAACAATGGAGGATCATTCTGGTTATTTTGAGAACACATTCTCTTCCACTTCCCACTCTGAGGCTCCATCCACAAAAATGGGGAGAAGGGCCCCCTGTGAGCCCGGCATTTGGGGCATGGACTGTATCTCTTATCTACCCAACAAACTGGGAGAAATTTCATGTTAAGAAACGTATTCTAATTAGCAAAAGACCATAGATGCAAAACAAAGGAGCACTTTAAAACATTTCAAATCATGCATAAATAGAGATTTTAACCAAATTTGAGGAAAATTGGTTCTCTGCTACTTGCATGGCTCACGGGCACAGTGGCAACATGTGATGTTGCATGTGAGGGATGAGGAAATGGAAAGCAGACTGATGGAGATCTGAATTGCCTCATCCCTCGCTGTATTAAAATCAGCCAATTTGTTCCTCACCCAATGCCAGAGGAAGTGCAGAAAACTTTTTAACATTTATTTTCTTCTTATTGAAATATATTTGACACATATTATGTTAATTTAAGGTGTACCACATGTTGACTTGATACATTTATATATTGTGTTATAACCGCCATTTTACGACAGCACCTCTATCACATCACATGATTTTGTTTCTTTTTTTGTGGATGGAATAATGACATTTCTTTTATTTTCAATCTCCAGATTTACTTTTCATCTTCTCCCTAAACCCAAGGAAAATAAATACAGGCATCCCCCATGTTTTGAAAGTTCACGTTTGTCACTTTGCTTTCATGAAAGATCTATATTACTACCTGTCTTCACTAACTGAAAAAAAAATCTGGAGAGGATTTTCTCTTTTACAGAAAAAAGAAAAGTGCAAATGATATTCCCCATTGGTTCTGCAGCGAGCCAGCAAGAGGCAGTGCACCTGAGCATCAAGAGTGGCGCCACCCAGTCCCTTCCCCAGTAACTGCACTCAAGCAGCTCAGCATCCAGCATCCAGAGTTTTGAACTGTGTGAGCATCTGTGCTTGATGTCGAGTATTCTGTGCCTCAGTTAGCAACATGTGTTCTAAGCTATTAGAAAAGCCTAAGGGGATTTTTTGGGTCTGGGAATACTAAAAAATTGTACTATATAAATTAACAGTAATTGCTTCTTTGCTTTATGCTATTCTGGCTTATAAAAACTTTCATGGGGGAGTCATGGGGAAGATGGCAGAGAAGGAGGATCCTGAGCTTACCTCATCCCCTGAGCACAACAAGATAACAGCTACATCTATGCAACTATCACTGAAAATGACCCGAAGACTGGCAGAACAGACCATCCACAGTTGATTATAGACAAGAGGAAACATTTAGAAAGATAGAAGGACTAGAGATACAGTTGGGAACCAAACCCACATGAGCCTAGCCACAAATGGGAGGGACACCACAAGCGCAGAGAAGCCAGAGGATCAGATGCCACAGAAGGCACCTCTGGCATGGGGGCCTGCACTGGGAAGACAAATCTCAGTAACATTTGGCTCTGAAAACCAGTGGGGCTTAAAATTGGGAGCTTTAAAAATCAGCGACCTTAACTTTGAGGAGAGTAGGAAGGTGACGGGAAACTGAGTCCCCACCATATAGAACTTAAAGAACCACCATGATAACTTGGCCCAAGACAGCACAGAAGCAGCAGTTTAAAAAATGGCTGCAGTATACATGAAGGAGATCTATGGATTAATCTTAGAATGTGTGCTGGAGGGTCAGGGATCTTGAGGAGATTTCTCTGGGAACAAAACTGTTGGCAGGCACCATTTCTCTTTCCCTTCCCAAGCCAAGATAGCCAGATGGTTGTGAGAGCCATCTACCTTGCTAGCACCACGTGCTCTGCCCCAGCAGTCACCTGTGGACCTGCCCCATTCAATCTGCCCACTTCAGCAGGCATCTCTCCAAAGCAGTTCTTGCCCCACCACACCCCACAAGAAACTCCAGTAGGGACCAGTACCACTCCGAAGTTTCTCCCCGTCTGGGGCAGAGGGGAGATAACTTCACACACCAGTGCACCCCTTGTTCCAACAACTCAGTCTCAGCTGGCTGTGCAGGGAGCAATCCCTGCCACTTGGTGTACCTGCAGCTGTAGCAGAAAGGCTAACTCTAGATAGGCTGACTGCTGGTCCCACCCACCAACAGCCCCACAGTGGCTTTAGACAGGCCTCTCAGTAGCTTGGGGAAGAAATCCTGCCCTGTGCACCCGTAGCAGGCAAAGTGGGTCAGTGCAGCCTGTTGGGCTGAAGGCAATTATGGCTCAGCCTCCCCAGTAAGGTACATGCAGTCCAGCCAGGGACACCTCTAGAGCTCCTAATTATGATGACCAGGGGGATTGCACTTCATGACACCATAGGACCTCTTCTCATCAAGGCCACTACTTTCAAGACCAGGAGATGTAGCTGAATTACCTAATACACAGAAACAAACACAGATAGACAAAATGAGACAAAGAGATATCTCAAATGAAAGAACAAGACAAAATCACAGTGAAAGAGCTAAATGAAATGGATAAGCAATTTTCTTGATAAAGAATTCAAAGTAGTAGTCATAAAGATACACCCAGACTTGAGAAAACAGTGCATGATCTCAGTGAGAACTTCATCAAAGAGATAAAAAATATAAAAAATGAACCAGTCAGAGCTTTAGAATACAATAACTAAAATAAAAATACACTAGAGGGAATCAACAGCAGATTAGAGAATGCAGAAAAACAGATGAGCAATCTGAAAAAAAGAGTAATAGAAAGGAACCGAGCTGAACATCAAAAAGAAAAAAGAATAATGAAATATAAGAATAAGTTAGGGAACTCGGCAACACCATCAAGAATAGTAACATTTGCATTGTAGGGATCCCAGAAAGAGGAGAGAGAAAGGGGGACAGAAAATTTATTTGAAGAAATAATAGCTGAAAACTTCCCTAATCTGGGGGAAAAATAGGCATTCAAGCCCCCGAGGCACAGACAGCCCCAAACAAGATGAACCCAAGGAGGTCCACAACAAGACACAGAATGATTAAAATGGCAAAAAATAATGATAAAGAGAGAGATCTTAAAAGCAGCAAGAGAAAAGAAAACAGTTACAAACAAGGGAAATCCCATAAGACTATAGCTGATTTTTCAGCAGAAATTTTGCAGGCCAGAGAGAGCAGCATGATATATTCAAAGTGTTGAAAGAAGAAACGTGCAACCAAGAGTAGTCTATCCAGCAAGGCTATCATTCAGAATAGAAGGAGAGAGAGAGAGTTTCCCAGACAAACTAAAGTTAAAGGAGTTCATCACCACTAAACCAGCTTTATAACAAATGCTAAGGGGAATTCTTCAAGTGAAAAGAAAAGGCCATAATTAGAAGAAAATTATGAAAGCAAAAAAATTTCACTGGTAAGAGCAAACATATATTAAAGGTAGTAGATTAATTACTACAAAGCCAGTATGGTGGTTAGAACACAAAAGTAGTAAAATCAGTTATATCTACAAAAATGAGTCAAGGTATTCACAAAATAAAAAGATGTAAAATATGATATCATACACAGAAAAGGTGGGGGAGGAGTAAGAATTTAGTACTTTTAGAGTGTGTTTGAACTTACGTGGCCATCAACATAAGATAGACTGCTATACACATAAGAGGTTATATATGAACCCAATGGTAAACACAAATCAAAGCCTAGAATAGATACACAAAACATAAAGAGAAAGGAATCCACGCATAACCCTAAAGAAAGGCATCAAATCACAATGAAAGAGAGTAATGGAGGAAAGAAAAAAGAAAATAGAGAAAAACTACAAAACAGCTAGAAAACAATGAACAAAATGGCTATAAGTACAAACCTATCAATAATTACCTTAAAGATAAATATACTAAATGCTCCAATCAAAAGCCATAGCATGCCTGAATGGATAAAAAAACAAGACTCATCTATATGCTGCCTACAAGAGACTCACTTCAGACCTAAAGACACATACAGACTGAAAATGAAAGACGGGGAAAACATATGCCACGCAAACAGAAGGAAAAAAAAAAAAGGCTGGGGTAGCAATACTTATATCAGACAAAATAGCCTTTAAGACAAAGACTGTATCAGGAGACAAAGAATGGTACTACATAATGATAATGGAATCGATCCAACAAGAGGACATGAAATTGTGAATTTTTATGCACCCAACATTGGAGTACCAAATTATATAAAGCAAATATTAACATACATAAAGGGAGAAATGGACAGTAATACAATAATAGTAGGGCACTTTAATACACCACTTACATCAATGGATAAATATCCACACAGAAGGTCAATAAGGAAACGGTGGCTTTGAACAACATATTAGAGCAGATGGACCTAACAGATATGTACAGAACACTCCATCCCAAAACAGCAGAATACACATTCTTTTCAAGTACACATGGGACATTCTCCAGAATGCATCACATGTTAGGCCACAAAAAATGTCAATAAATTTAAGGATACTGAGTCATATCCAGCCTCCATTCCAACCACGATGGTATGAAACTGGAAATCAACTACAAGAAAATAATCTGGAAAAAACATACACATAGAGCTAAAGGACATTCTCTTAAACAACAAATGGGTCAACAACTCAAAGAGGAAATCAGAAAATACATGGAGACAAAAAAAAAAAAACAAACCAAAAAGACAATGATCTAAAATCTTTGGGCCATAGCAAAAGCAGTTCTAAGAGGGAACTTTATAGCAATACAGGGCTACCTCAAGAAATAAGAAAAATCCCAAATAAACAACCTAACCTTATACCTAAAGGAGCTAGAAAAACAAAAACAAACAAAGCCCAAAGATAGTAGAAGGAAGGAAATAATAAAGATTAGAGATGAAATAGAAACTAAAAAGCAATAAAAATTTCAACGAAACCAAGAGATGGTTCTTTGAAAAGGGAAACAAAATTGAAAAACCTTTAGTCACAATCATCAGGAAAAAAGAAGACTCAAAATCAAATGAAGGGGAGAATAACAACTTTAACCACAGATATACAAAGGATTATAAAAAAAATTATGAAAAATGGAGTGCCACCAAATTGGACAACCTAGAAGAAATGGATAAATTCCTAGAAACTTATTCCAAGATTGAATCTTGAGGATATACAAAATCTGAACAGACTGATGGATTACTAGTAATCATATTGAATCAGTAATCAAAAACTCCCAACAAAACACCAGGACCAGTTGGCTTTCAGGGGAATTCTACCAAACACTTAAATAAGAGTTAATACCTATTCATCTCAAACTATTCCAAAAATACAAGAAGGAAAACTTCCCAATTCATTCAGTGAGGCCAGGATTACCCTGATACTAAAACCAGGCAAAGATGCTACCAAAAAAGAAAACTGTAGGCCAATATCTCTGATTAACTTAGATGTAAAAATCTTCAAAAATTATTAGCAAACTGAATTCAGCAACACATTAAAAAAATCATTTACCACAATCAAGTGGCTTTTATTCCAAGGATGCAAGAGTAGCTCAAAATTTACAAATCAATCAATGGGACATACCACATTAACAAGAGGAAGGATAAAAACCACACGGTCATCTCAACAGATGCAGAAAAAGCATTTGACAAAATACAACATTCATTCACGACAAAAACTCTCAACAAACTGGGCTTAGAGGGAACACCTCAACGTCATAAAGGCCACACATGACAAACCCACAGCTAACATCATACTCAGTGGTGAAGGACTAAAAACTTTTTCTCAAGATCAGGACAAGATACGGATGTCCACTCAAGCCACTTGAATTCCATACAGTAGTGAAAGTCCTAGCTGCAGCCATCAGAAAAGAAAAAGGAATAAACAGCCTCCAAATTGATAAGGAAGCAGTAAAACTGTCACTATTTGCAAATGACATATTATACTTAGAAAACCCTAAAGACTGCCCCAAAATACTATTAGAACTAATGAAAGGAAAGTCAAAAAATGCAAAATTAATATACAGAAATCTGTTGCATTTCTATACACTAACAACAAAGTAGCGGAAAGAGAAATTAAGAAAACAACCCCATTTACAATTGCATCAAAAAGAATAAAATACTTAGGAATAAACTTAACCAAGGAGGTGAAACATTTATTCTGAAAACTATAAAACACTGATTGAAGAAATGGAAGGTGACAAAAACAAATGGAAAGATGTTCTGTGCTCACGGATTGGGAGAATTAACATTGTGAAAATGTCCATACTACCCAAAGCAATCTACAGATTCGGTGTAATCCCTATCAATATACGAACAGCATTTTTCACAGAACTAGGACAAATAATATTAAAATTTGTATGGAATCACAAAAGACCTAGAATAGCCAAGGCAATCTTGAGGAAGAACAAAGCTGGAGGTATCACAATCCCAGACTTCAAGATATACTACAAAGCTAGAATAATCAAAAGTTTGGTACTCACACCAAAACAGACATGTAGATCGATGAAACAGAATAGAGGGTCCAGAAATAAACCCATACCGATATGGTCAATTAATTTATGACAAAAGAGGCAAGAATATACAATGGGGAAAAAACAGTCTTTTCTTTCTTTCTTTTCTTTCAACAAATGCTGCTGGGAAAACTGAACAGCTACATGCAAAAGAACAAAACCGCACCCCTTTCTTAACCATACACAAAAATAAACTCACAATGGATTAAGACCTAAGTGTGAGACCTGAAACCATAAAACTCCTAAAAGAAGACACAGGCAGTAATCTCTTGGACGTCAGTCTTAGCAACATGTTTATGGATATGTCTCCTGGGCAAGGAAAACAAAAGCAAAAATAAAGTATCAGGACTACATCAAAATAAAAAAACTGCTGCACAGCAAAGGAAACCATAAACAAAACGAAAAGACAACCTAGTAAATGGAAGAAGGGGTTTGCAAAAGATATATCTGATAAGGGGTTAATATCCAAAATATATAAAGAACTTACATAACTCAACACCAAAAAAAAAATCTATTAAAAAATGGGTAGAGGACCTGAACAGACATTTTTTCCAAAGAAGGCATACTGATGACCAACAGACACATGAAAAGATGCTGAACATCATCAATCGTCAGGGAAATGCAAATCAAAACCACAGTGAGGTATCAGAATGTCTAGTATCAAAAAGACAAGAAATAGCAAGTGTTGGCAAGGAGGTGGAGAAAAAGGAACCCACATGCATTGGTGGTGGGAATGCAAACAGGTATGGCCACTGTGGAAAACAGTATGGAAGTTCCTCAAAAAATTAAAAATAGAACTACCATATGATCTGGTCATTCCACTACTGGGTATATACCTAAAGAAAAAGAAAACACTAACTCAAAAAGACATATGCATTCCTATGTTTATTGCAGTATTATTTACAATAGCCAAAGTATGGAAGCAATCCAAGTGCCCATCAATAGATGAATGCATAAAGAAGATGTGGTCTATATACAATGGAATATTGCTCAGCCATAAAAAGGAATGAGATCTTGTCATTATGACAACAATGGATGTGGAGGATATTATGGTAAATGAAATACATCAGACAGAGAAAGACAAATATCATACAATTTCACTTATATGTGGAATCTAAAAAACCAAACCAAACCAAACATTCTTAAATATAGAGAACTGGTGGTTGCGAAAAGATTGGGCAGGGAAGCAGGTGAAATAAAGGGAATTAAGAGGTATAAACTTCCAGTTACAAAATAAATAAGTCACAGCATAGGGAATATAGTCAATAATACTGTAGTAACATTGTATGGTGACAGATGAGCACTGAGTAATACACAGAATTGTTGAACCAATGCGTTGTACACCTGAAACTAAGCAATACTGTATATTAATTATACTTCAATTAAAAGAAAGTTTTCACAGAAATACTATACTTTAGGATAGTGGGGAAAACCTGTATTTTATAATGTATGCTGAAATTATTCAGTTCCCAGATTCCTGTAGGCATATCCTCTCGTGAACTACTTTCAGAAAGTAGGCTGGATAAATTTCCATTTCTCCTGTGGCGCTGAGATTTATGGTAGATTTATTTTTGCAAAACCTTTTACAGTGACAGGAAGTAACATTCTAAAATTCTAAGGAAACACTGGCAGTTCTTTACTACAGACCTATCCCATTTTCTCCCTGCCCTCACTTCCCACCCTGTTCCAAAGGTTTCCTAACGGGGCACATTTTGGTCTCACTTCCAAGAAGTAGGAGCCTCCCACCGATCAGACCAGGTAAATGGAGAATTTAAATGCAGAGGACTTGGGTTAAGGTTGACCAAGATTAATTATGGACAGTGATTCTACTGAGGATCAGGGTAGCTACCTTTTTTCCCAGGTGCTGGTACACAAGGCAGCCTTGCTTCACCTTTTATGGAGCATGGGAGACCAATTTCAACCGGACCTTCTCTGAAGATGTGTTCAGTATCTCTTAAGCAGCGAGCCTGGATTATAAACACAGAGTCAGACCACTCACCTACCCACCCACTCCTGCTGGGACAGCTCAGCCTACTGCCCTTGGGGATGAGATCCATTTAAGATTCCTAAATGCATTAGATAACCAACATTCTTCTTTCCATTAGCACTCTTTTAGGATCCCCTACGCTGTAGGAGTCTATCTATTGTATTTTATGCACCAGCAGAACACATTCACTTCCTTCATATTCTTCCAGGGGGCCAACTGGTTTCTCCTATGGTATCTACATCATTCAGTCACAAATAAGAATGGAGCGTCAATGGATGGAAAAAGACTTACATAACCAACACCAAGACTTAAAGAGGGTTTGTTCTTGGATATGTAAGTTCAACATGCTAGTGCTGTGCATGTGAGTAAATGGCAAGGCAAAAGTTGCCCTGGACTCCGTGTTCTGTGCACATTTTAGGGATGATTCTAGCAAGTATATAGGTATAAAGTTGGTAATGAATCCTCAATAATTTTAATGAATTTGTTTCTGCCCCTGCTCCTTCCACAAAGAATTTAAGATCTTATAAAGATCTATGCAGTTCAAATGCATTAAATAAATAAATATCTCAAAGTGGGGATATGCATATGAGGATGAAAGTCAGAGTCAAGACAAGTGCTCAGGAATAGACTCCACGTTGTCCCACAGCTCAAAGGGCAAAAGGACTGGAGTAGTCCTTACTAAGCTGAAATTGCAGGAACTCAACCTAAAACCCTTTCCTACCTGTTGAGTGCTCTCAATCATTGCCAGCGCTTCAGCCATTAGCTTCTGGTTTATGCCACAAAGATTGGCCACCTTTGTCTGGCATCTGTGATGTACATTCATGCCACATGCTGAAAAGGAGAAAGAGACACTGAGCAAGAGCAACAGACCTCACCGAGTGGACTTTGCCCAGGACCATTTTAGGTACGCATATGTTGAGGGACAATTGGCAAATCCCTGGAGCCATCTTCCCAGCAGAAGGAGACACTGCATTCAAATAAATTAGGGCAGTACTTTTATGATGCCACTATGCATCTACCTCCTCTTCCCAAGACTACATACACAGGCCAGACATTCCTCGATGTGATGCTGGGGAATGACTCCCAGTTGAGTCAGAACCAGAGCCTTGCTGATAGGGGAGGAAGGCTGCTGTCAGTATGCATTTACACTGTGCCCCTGCTGAGAGAAAAACATGATTCAGGCCCTCCCTGGAGGGAATGTGCAATGCTGGGATGCAAGGTGATTTACTCTCACCATGGACTGGACTCCAAGCATCCCCTTTCCCACATGGACTGCAAGGAGCTTCTCTCCCCTCTAAGTTGAAGCCCAGGGAGCAACCTCAGCCTGCAGAACTGAAATGGAAATGGTGGGGGTGGTCTGTGCTTAGGGGTGGGAGTGGGAGGACAGAAAATATCCTGGAGACCACATCCTCACCCTGTGGCAGAGTTGGGCTAGTTCAACCAAATGATCTACACAGACCTATGATTCTGGGGGAATATGCTGATTCATTAGTCCCGAAAATAGCACAATAAAGGTCCACCCTCCACTTACTGTGATCCCATGAGCTTTCTTGGATTGGGATGTGTGTGCACATGTTCACCTGTATAAAGACAGCTACTACTTCATGTTGTTAGTTTAGAATATTAAAATTCTGCTTATGAAACATTGCAATAAATTACAATAAAAAAAAATCTAACTTAAGATTTCCAAACTCTGGCTGATAGAATTGTATTGTCAAGTCCTATTTCATTACATCAAGGTCTATTAATAGGGATTATTATAAGGCATTAGGCAGGAGAGGCTATCAAATAATGCACTTTGACCCTCACCTGTTTATTAGCCCATTTGTGTGCAAAGAACTTAGCACAGTGATTGGCATCAAATAGGTACTCAACAAATACAGCTTCTATTTCATCATTTTTTCGAATGAGATATATTTTAAAATATTTAAGTGAAATTTTATCAGGCTTCAGCCTTTAGTTTTAACTAGCTTACTCTTCTCAGAGAATTCATAATAAAACAAAATAAAATAGCATTTTCTGTGTAAGTAGAGACCAATAGAGACCACTACTTTCTGTGTAAGTAGAGACCAGGACCAGTCCCAGCATAAACGCAATGATATAACCCAAATCCATTCTAAGTGAAATCTTCTACGTATATCTAAAGTCTTTAATATAGTAACAATGCTGCTGATGAGGGCTCTCTGCCTTTCTGAATTTAGCATGACTTGTTGATGCAAGTCATACTGGACTTGTTGATGCAAGTTGCCCATTGGGAAGCCCTCAGTTGCCTTTCTTTACTCGTCACCACAAGCCAAAGGGAAGCAGTGAGCAAGGACTGAGCATGAGGCGTTGGAGAGTTTCACTTTGTTTTTTTTCACATGGTAGCTGGACCTAAGCTTGTCTCGGACACACTCGCGTGAAGGCAGGCCCCATTCCCACTCCGATAATGTCATATGTCTCTGTTACTAACCTATTAGGTGATAACTTGATCTCTGTGAGTGCAAACAGTCCCTTTGGATGATGATTTTCATGGGAATTCAAGTGGAGAGAGAAAAGGACAGGGTCAAAATGAAGGGAGGCCCTATTTAGGAAGGTGGCTTAGAAGAGAACAAGACAGAAAGAGCAGGGCCAAGGCAGAGGAACAGAGCCCAAAGGGTAGATTGGAAGAGGAGGTAAGTCAAGGGCATGGGGGGCAAGGACACAGTGGTATGTGCAGGTGTCAGCCTCAAGAGCAGAGGGTGTTGGGGAGGAAAGGGAGGGGAGGAAAGGGGAGGGGAAAGGGCTGCCTGGCATGCAGAAGGCAAGGGGAGAGAGGGAAAGGGAAGGGACCGGAGAGAAAGAATGTGGGGGGGGGGATGGAACAGAGCAGGTGTGTGGGCCATGAAACAATGGCAAGGAACGCTTGCGGAGGTTCTAAGCTCAGAGGCATCATCGGGCTGTTGGCAGCACTGGGCAGGTGGGGCGCTCAGGCTCTGGGGAAAAGGAATTTGCACTGTGAGGGAGACCATCAGAAGATTCGGGGAACCATCAGAGGGGATCTGATTATTCATGCCTGCTCGTTCAATTCGAATGATAAAATAACTTCTTGCCTATGAACTCCTAAAGATAAAGATACTCCATAGAGTACCAGGCCCACCTGTGTGCTCTTGAACAGGTGTAGAGAGCAAGGTGCACAGCGGTATTCCTGGAGGGATTATTAAGGTGAATTTTCACTGCATGTGGGTTTTGCCTTCAGCAATGGTTTGAAAACCTAACCCTCCCCGTCTCCACTAAGATGCCACTCCAGACTTCACCAGACACATGAGCACAGTGGGGATGAGGAAGAGAAGGCCGGTGAAGGTGACCTTCACCTTTATCACTTAAAAGATAAGAACTGCCGAAGATTAAGCCAGTGGCATAAAACAAAATGGAGCGGCCAAGAAAAAAACAAAGTGGCTTCCGTATTTAATAATTCGCAACAGGCCTCTGCTGCAGCAGGATGCCTTCCTCTTTGAATGTCTGTCTGGCCCTGCCCCACCCTCACCCCCACTCAGAAGGCAGAAGTGCCTTGCTGGAATCTTCACTCCCTACTGCCTAATCCTGGCATAACAGCATCTCCGTTTCTAACGGTTATTGCCTTAGCAATTTGAACTTTTAGAGTAAGAAAGTGCTTTTTGCTCTTTCCAGAGCTGAAAACCTCGATGAGGCTCTGTTGCAATGCCAGCCTTTAAGGAGAGATCAGAGGAGGGAACATGAGGGTGGGTGCAGGGTTGGGCTTCTTCCTTGGCACACTTTGGGCATCGACCTTCCAGTTTAAGTCACAAATGCCTATGTGCAGGACCATCCATCAGCCAAGTAGATGTGTCGGGCTTACTCCTCGATGGGCTACAGGGGCAATCTTAAGGTGTAAGGGAGAGCGACAGTGGGGGCATAGCTTGAGCTGCCACGGTCAGAAGGGGCAGTCCCAGAACACCAGGAGACAAAGGGCAGGCCCCAGGGAAGGAGGCCAGTCGGGAAAAGTGCCATCTTCCTCTCTCCCCAGCGTGAGGTACAACAGAAGGATGACAGGCTGGGAGACTTGACATTGAGCCTGAACAGGTTTGCACTTCTCTGGGATCCTGGGATGATGGTGTTGGGAATGGGAGGAAAAGAGCAGAAGTGGTCTGTTGTCCTGGGAACTTCACATTCATGATCTCAGGTCATCCGGGCTAGCTGGAGAAGTCAACCCTCTGTGCTCCCTCTTCCCCTCGTGCTCTCCATTAAAGCTACAAAGCCACCCTGTAGGGGTTCCGTACCAGGGCCCATGCTCATTTCCCACTGGACTCACCATCACACTTGAGTCCTTGCCTGGCCAGGCCCCACAGCAGGGTCCCACAGTGCTCACAGAAGGTCGGGCTTTTGTAATTGTAGACTTTAAATCTATGCGGCATGTCAATTTTGAACCTCTCCTTGTGGAACTGAAAGAAGGGAGAACGTGTGACCATACGCATGTCGCTGGTTCTCAGCCTCTGGTATCTTAGCAGCTACTCCAGCATAACTAACAGAGCACTAAAAACACTGGAACTGGAGGGTGTTATGCTGAGCGAAATAAGTCAATCAGAGGAAGACATGTATCATATGACCTCATTCTTAATCTCAGGAAACAACCTGAGGGTTGCTGGAGCGGTGGGGGGTGGGAGGGATGGGGTGGCTGGATGATAGACATCGGGGAGGGTACGTGCTATGGTGAGCGCTGTGAATTGTGCAAGGCTATTGAATCACGGATCTGTACCTCTGAAACAAATAATGCAACATATGTTAAGAAAAAAAAAAAGAAGAAGATAGCAGGAGGGGAAGAATGAAGGGGAGTAAGTCAGAGGGGGAGACAAACCATGAGAGACGATGGACTCTGAGAAACAAACTGAGGGTTCTAGAGGGGAGGGGGGTGGGGGGATGGGTTAGCCTGGTGATGGGTATTAAAGAGGGCACGTTCTGCGTGGAGCACTGGGTGTTATGCACAAACAATGAATCATGGAACACTGCATCAAAAACTAATGATGTAATGTGTGGTGATTAACATAACAATAAAAAATTTAAAGGGAAAAAAACCCCACTGGAATGATGTATGCTTTAAGCCATAAGCTTTACTTGTCAAGCCTTACAGCCATGGCCAAAGAAGGCAGGCAGCCATTAGCTCTTCCAGGCAAGGGGCATGTATGAGCTATACACATGTCAAGTAACCGGGACTACGCTGAGGTATGAGGCATTCGTACAGGCAGGCTAAGTCTTCAGGATGATGGGGCTGGGATTATCTAAGAGGGATCTGGGTGAGCACTGCACGGCCCTTCCTATTTTAGTATACATATTGCCTTTTCTTTTCCAACCCAGAACTAGGACTCTAACCTTTGGAAGATGTCATATAATTCCTCCTCTAGAGGAAACACTGCTGTGGGTTTATGAGTATAAAAGCCTAAGTATGAAGCATTTCATAGCTATTACACACGGACTGGAGGGGGTGAGCAGCAGGTAACAGGTCCTGCCAGGTGCTATGGATAAGTATGTCACATGTATTATCTTTTTACACATGTGATATTGCAAATACCCCCTTAGAGGAGCATTTATTAGAATCCTCATTTGCTAAATGAGGAAGTTAAGCACAGAGAGGGCAAGACACTCGTTTAGGTCACATGGCTAGCAAGTGAGCTGGGACATCTATGAGCCTGAAGTCAGAATCAGCCTATCTTTCCGTCACTACCCTCTCTTCTCTCAAAGTCAGGGTGATGAGTGAGGGGATGGGGAGACGGGAGATGAGAGAGGGATGCTGGTGGTTGATATATTACAGGATTTTTTGTTTTGTTTTGTTTTCCAGAGTTGAAATTCTCTCCTTTAGCCAAACATATCACATGGACAACAACAATAACGAAATCATGAGGTTTGATTCCTGGTAAGGATACCAATATTCTTGGGTAATAGAGAAAGTTTTACTTAAGACTAATAATCTCCACAGAAGTTTTTTATTAAAGAGTTTCTTTGGGATTGTGCACAGCAAAGAAGCCTTTTTCATTAACAGTGATATATCTAATATTTCCATGAAGGCCGTTGGCCAGCATTGGGTCATTAGAATAGCTGTTTAGAATTGTTTAAACGTTACTCAGAACTTACTTTAGCCATTTTCAACCAAGAAAAAGTGATTTTCAGATCTCATTTTGTATAAACATTTCCATACAAATATGCACAATTTATGTCAAGGTCCAGGCTGGAAGACTTCTACCTCAAATCTTGACCCTTAGCTCAAAATAGTTCAAGATATGTCTGGAAAACACTATGGATTTGTACTTTGCAATATGATATTCACTTAGCCACATGGGCCTGCAAGGTGGTAAAACAATATGCTATCAGTATAAAGTACATACTGGATTCTGAAGATTTTTTATGAGAAAAGTGATGTAAACTATCTCCTTAATTTTTATACGAGGATACCTGAAAATTTAAAATTGCACTCGTGGCTCTCATTCTATTTCCAGGAGACATTAGCCATTGAGGTTAACAGTCATTCTTATAATTTGTGGTTTTCCCAGGAAAACTGAAGGCATCAAGTAGAGAGAGCAGGGAGGCAGGCTGGGAGGTGGCAATTTGATTTAAACAAACAAAACACTTGTCAGAGAAAGACATATTATACGATCTCACTTATATGTGGAATCCAAAAAACAAAACAAAAACAATCACACCAAACTCATAAAAAGGGATCAGACTTGCGGTTTGCAGAGGTGGGGGGTTAGGAGGAAGGAGAGAGTGGAGGAAGGTGGTCAAAAGGTACTTCTGGCTATAAGATAAGTAAGTCCTAGGGAGAGAATGTACAACACGGTGACCACAGCTAACACTGCTGTGTGATATACAGGGAGTAGATCTTAAGAGTTCTCATCACAAGGAGAAATCTTGTTTTCTCTTTTTATTGGATGCATATAAGATGATGGATGTTGGCTGAACCTATCGTGGGGATCATTGCATAGTATATGTAAGCCAAATCATCATGCTGTATGCCTGAAACTTAAACAGCGATATATGCTAATTGTTGCTTAATAAAACTGGGGGCGGGGGGGAAAGTCTACCACACTGCTCTGGGAGATTGAGATATGAAATTCTGTCCCAGCCCAGCTACTTATATCATAGGTGATTGACTGCAGACAAACTACTTTAACTTCTTTGAGCCTTAGCGGAGTCACTTTTAATAGGAGACTGTCCCATTCTGACTCTAAATTTTAAAAGAAATTCTGCTCTACAAAACCCAACCAATTTGCCTTCTCTGTGCCCACCCCTTGGCTGGAGAAAATCACACACCTGGGCAGGCTGGCCCTTCAAACTCAGGTGGACTTCCCACTGTCCTCAGCAATCCTACTGCTCTTCTCTAAGCACCTTGCTTTTCCATCCCGAGATAACTCTCTTACAGATCCTTTCTCCTCAAAGCCACTTGCTGCCTTCTCTTCTTCCTTCCCACAAATCTTCAGATGACACCAAAGGTAAGCTGTCTAAGGGAAGCTCTCTCAACGCCTGCCGCCAAATCTACAATCTGCCGTCATCTGCAAACATCTTCTCCTCCCTTTCTGTTACAATGGGTGATCCATCCATCTTTCCATTAGAGACCCATCTTCATATCGCTTTAGACATCTTTCCCTCTCGCCAAGGGTGAACTTACTCCCCCTTGACTGCTTTGGTTGTCGCTTTCTCTCCAGCTTCATCCATCTCTCCTCTCTCTCTCTAGCTACGGGAGTATTTCCATCCTTTGGGTTTCACCTCCTTTCAGCAACTGTTCTGCTTCAATGAGCTTCAGGTTAACGTTCTTGATAATATTAGCACATAAACTGTTTCCATGTCATCAATTCTCAGTAACCCTCAGTGTTGGTCGATGAAGCAAACATTTCTACAGTTCTCTGAAATTTCTTGGATCAAGGGCTCTGGAGATCTCCACGTGGTTCTCATTTTTCTCAACATCTTAGCTACACTGAATGCAATTGACCCCTTTGCTTCTTGGTCTCTGTAACTTCATGTACTCTTAATATATGAAGAGCCCTCTCTGAACTCTTATTGTCAGTCTTCATCACTTTATCACAAACCCCTTCTCCTCTACCTAACATGTAACTTTAGATTCCTTTGGGGAATTTATATATTTGGTCTATTGGCTCCTGTGAATTCCAACTGCATGTAAAACTGTCCACTTGCTACCTCCCACTTGGATGTCTACAGGCATCTCTGGCTGCACTTATTAAAAACTGAAATATTAATTTCTCCTCCAGTCTTTCATTGCTATGTTTCTGCCACTTCCCCACTGCTCAAGACAGACACTTAGGCATCATCTTTATTCCCCTCTCTTTTATTTTCCACTTCCAATCCATTGACAAATCCAGTCATTTCTAACAAGGAAACCACCTGAAAATCTGCTCACTTTGTTCCATCTCCATTGTTACCATATTGGTACAAGCCATCAACCTTCCCCCTTGGGGGGACTTCTGCAGTCACCTCTGGTTTTTATGTTCATACCTCAACCCACAATTTCCCCTACAGCAGTCACCAAGTGGGCTTCCCACTATAGGTCAAATAAAATCCAACCACTTCTCCAGGGTCTAAAAAAAAACCCCATCTAATCTAGGTCCTACCAAGTTCCCCAACTTTGTATTCTATTCACTCTCCTGCCCTTGCTGTTCCAGCCGCATGGTCTCATTTCAGTTCCTAGAACACACTCTTTCCCCCTTGGGGCCTTTTCGGTCTGGAGGCTGCTTCCTCCTGCTGTTCATATGGCTGGTTCCTTTCACCCTTAGCTCTCAGCTTAAATGCTCTCCTGGGAGATGCCCTGATCTTCGGTTTAAGTAGGGCACTCAGTTTTTCTCCATCATCACACCTTGTTGGTTATTTAATATAAATCGAAACAAACAATACATTGTTGTTTGTTAATTACGTGTTTCCCTAATTTTGCAGTAAGGTCTGTAAAGGCAAGACCAGGTCTATATTGTCCTCTGCTGTGCATTGTACATAGTACAGTATCTTCCATGTATTAGATACACACTAAATATGGGGTAACATCTAACCTGTCCCCATGCCATGTACCTTAAAGTTCATTATGAAAGAAACACTTTCCTCCCAACATAAGAATTATACTTCTGTTACATCTCATACTAATCTTGTAAATGCTTACATCTGTATTTTGTCACCATTTGCCTCTATTCCTTAACTGTCACTTCTAGCTATAGATGCCACAAGAGTTGTTTTCATATAATTGACCAAAACTATGTTTTCTGGGCACCTTCTATCATGCCTTTCCGGAAAAGGCAGAGTCATCGACAATCTTATTTTGCTTTTTCGTATTTATCCCCTAGTTTTGGATCTCAGTGAAAATCATTACTGAAGAGGAAAGGGTTTTCAGGGAGACTGATGTTCATTGATAAGCTTAAGGATTCAAGCTCAAGCAATACTAAAAAGAATTAGTGGGCTTCCAAATTTAATGTTAGGATAAAATTATCATATTCCAGACAGAAAGAGGAACCTGAACACATACCATGGTTTCTCGGCTATTGATAGCTGATCCTGTGCACTTAGCTATAACTTTATCAATACACTTCTTGTGAATTGCCGCATTACACTCTGAAAAGAAATTATTGCAGTTAAGACTTTCAGAAGTTAAGGAACAACGAAATAAGCAGAATGACAATAATACAACAGAAATCCTTCTTACTTACGTCGACACTGGTAGCCTTGTTTGTTCAGACCCCTGCAATAAAGCACATGTCGCACTTACTTGGATGTTTGAGTCAACAGCAGCACCATAGACATTAAAACACGATCTCATAGCTTCCTACTATCGCAGAGCATTCACTGATCAGCGGCTCTGGTCTGTCACTGAACAAAAGTGTTAACACGTATTGTTCTTCCTTGTTTTTTTATTTTAAACTGCTTTGTTAAAAGTCTGATAAATAAATGAGGAACTGTTGTTTCTCCTCTCATTTGTGTCTTTTCCAAACAAACATGTAGAGATGAAAATACCTGACCGAAAATGCATCACAGGCTCCTAGCGGCAAATTTCCATGTCCTACACTTAAAAATTCATTGTCTCTCTAAGCTCAGTATAGATGAGCGAAGACATCTGTACAATGTGTTGTTTCCTCTTTCTGAGTATCTGACAATATTTGCAACTACTAAATTCTGAAGCTTAAGACCCATTTCTGAGTAACACTCACTATTAGTAAGGAAGGCAATTCTAATCAGTCAATGAAAACAGTTGGTGGAAATCCATCAAAAGTCTATTTGACCTCCGGATACCCTAGTTAGACTGGGGTTGTGAGTTGATGGATCCTGAAGTAGCCCAAAGAAAAGAACACCCCCACCAAGAGGCAAGGAGGCTGAGAGTGGGGACAGGAGTCATTTCAAGTCTCTGCAGTCCCATCGCCTTTGCTATGTGCTTACTGAGGCTTGAACCGATTTCTCTGTCTGAGGGCTGCTGAGATGCCCAAGAGCCCTGTAAACATCTAAACCCATTAGCTCCAATGCAAAAGTGTTGCCTTTTGCACACGTTAGTACCAGCACAGTTGGGCTATCAAGGTGGTAGCAGTTCCAACTGTAAAACTGTGCCAACAGTACAGTAAAGATGTTTCCCTCTTCTGTCCTTCCCTTTTACCCCCAGTGGCCCCCATTTAATCAGAAGCTAAAGTTCTTGAAAACTTTTTCTGCTAGAGCTGGCTTCCTTGCTCTATAGGAGTCACATTGTGAAAATACTATATAGAATCACACTCTTTAAGCCTCATCCTTCCATGTAGTGCTTATGCCAGCACACTCTCCTGAGGTGGAGCATGCCAGGCCTGACAGGTTGAGAGGATCTGACAAAATGCATAAGCTGAAGCTTGGAGTGAAATGCCAAGTTACCGTACCAGACAAACTCATGGCAGACAGAGCAAAATGTGGGTTGTGGGAAAAAGGTGGCGGTGAACTCATGGCACTTGACATGGTGGACTTTGGCCTGTTTGATGGCTCCTCGGCGGTGATGCAAAGCAAAGAAGCCTTCAGTCTCAAATTCACTCATGTCCTTTGTGTCTGCAGGAACAGGACAAGGGACAAAGTGGGTGGAGGGGGTGGGGAAATGGGGAAAGGATGGAGACAGACAAGTAATTAGGCAAGCATTGAAACCAGTAAAATCCCAAGTACTTATTAAGGTTGGTATAGCACTAAGCTTCTTTCTTTAATTCTGCAATACAGAATTATCATAGGGTGTATTACTATACGGTTGAAACAATGAGGTTGGATTACTGGCTCAATCCCTCACTCCTCTTTGACTATGCTGAGCTATTCTCTTTCAGTTTTTAAAACCAGAGGTCAGAACTTTCAAAGTATTTATCAACCTCTCCTATTCACTGTCAATGATGAGTCAGCCAGAAAAAGCAGGAAGTGGTAAATACTTTTCTGCCTGTAATTCTAGAGAATAATGTGGTTACTGACAGCAATTTAGAAACAGCTTAATTTCTCAGGATGTTTTCTGTCTAGTTGTTTATGGGCAGGGTCCAGTAGACTGAGGGGAACTGACCAGACTGTGTGAGGGTGAAAGAACTTTGGAAAGTTGTTTATGCTCTGGTTCCTGATGTCCATAGTCATCAGGTGCACCAGCTATAGACTTACAGACTACACCAGTCAGTGTGGAAAAAGCCAGAAATTAATAGATGGCTGCAATTGTTTTTTAACGTCTAGGTAATCCTGGATGTTATCTAGTCATCTACATCAAATCATCACATTCACATTTCTTCAGTTCACTCTGGGCTCAGGATATCGGTGAAGGTACTGTGATAGTCACTGTCCATGGCACCCCATGCCTAGATAACATCTTTCTAAAAGGCTGGTAGAATTCTGAGAATACTAATGATTCCCTGGCTGAAGACCAGACCCAAAGAAAACACACAAAAGCAAGGCAGTCGTGGTTCAAAAGCGTGATGACAACTCCAGCATGCAAGAGAGAATAAAATGGTAAACAAGAAATAAATATAAAAAATAATTATCATTACTAAAATAAGGATAATTTAGTGATTATTAACTTGTAATATAATTTTTAAATAGCTTGAAAGTATCTTGGATTTATAGTTCTTATATTTTTACAAGCATAAAAAATGGAGCTTTAGCAAGAATAAGAGGCTCATATTTCACAAATATAAAGAGTTAGCAATATTTAAACTAAATTACTTCCATTCTGGATAAGCAGTGGCACTGGTATGACAACACACTTGAGACAAATGTCCCTGCCAAGGTACTTTATTTTCCATACCCTTAATAGTGGCCAGACTAGAAACACATTGGGGAGATAAAGGGTGGGGGGCATGTGGATGGAGGCCTCTCCCCCAGGAATTCATCCAAGTCCCAGGCCTCATTTTATGACTAATGTTTTCTCTACAGTGGTCCACAGGTCTGTTCTATGGCAACTCCAAACTCTTAGATACAGAGCCTTCCGAATAACTCTAAAAAGTTCCACAGATAAGACATAATTCTTTGCCTAATACTTTAAGGCTAGGTAATGTAGGCCTTTTTATATAGAATTGAGCTAGAAATAAATTAGGTTTAGTGAGTGAGAGGTTAAATTCAGGGTCACTGAGGCAATTGCTGTTTTCTGCAAGTTCTGGTATAAGCAGATCTATTTACAACTTGTGACTGGTGTAGTAGGTGGTTTGTCAGTAAGATTTGACTCATTTCTATTTTGGTCCATATGAAATGAAATAAAGTATAAAATTACTTTTAAATTCAGGCAATAGAAGTGAATTATTCTGGGAACCCTAATCGTATTACTGTAAAAAAATATATATATCGTCTGAGCTTTAAACTGTAATGTTGTAAATTTTTTAAAATGTTAGAAAGTGCTAGAAATACATTTATCCCCTTGGGCCTTCCTTTGATTTTTCTTTATCCTCTAACCATTTTGATCATTACAGGAGAGCAACTATAGAAAAACTCAGAATTTCTTGAATTCTTCTGGTATCTATGTTTTTTTTTTTCTGAAGTAATTTGCTCCTATGTTTATTGGCTTGAATAAGTTTATTGGTTTTTGTATGTTTGGTTATTTCTTTTATAGTAATGGCTCCTAATCTATTTATTTAGCCTAACCTATCACTTGTTGGTAATCAGTCAACCACAGATGTTTCCTGGACAGCTCTGAGCAAACTGCTATGCTGAATGTTCTAAAGAAATATGGGATGTTATCCCTAACTTCTGAGTGGCTAACAGTCAAGTCAGGGAGACATGACACTCACACAAAGAACAGTATGTGATAGTTTGGAATAGACATGGTGATATGTACACCCATAGTTTTTAGGAGGTAGTAAAAGGAATTACAAAAGAGACCATGAAGAAGCAGCTAAAAAATTAAGAGAAAAACTTACATAGTATCACACTGGGTAAGCCAAGAAAGAATGGGTTTTTCAGCATTGGTATAGAGATGTCAAGGGAACTGGAGGCTAAGAAAGAGAAATTTGTTTTGAAGAATAATACTCTTGAAGAAAGCAACTTAGCGGATTGGTCAAAATATAAGCCAGACTCTTAGGGTAAAAAAAAAAAAAAAAAATGTCCAGACCGGACAAGATGGCTTAATTCAGTATGTCTTGGCAATGAAACCAAAGAGATAGGGAAACATTGAAGATGCTACTGAGCTTATGGTACGTAGCTGCTAGGAATCTGAGGCAGGAGACCAAGAAAGGGAGGGACTGTCTCTGAGGCAAAAGAGCAGGAAGCAAGTGTAGGGAGCAGCAGTTATCTCTAAAGTACAGAGACAGACAGAAGACAGAGTCGTTCCCAGTTAAACTGGGGGCAAGGCCAAACTCCAAAAGTGAGAGAAGAATGAGATACCCTTAGAGACTGAGTAGTACGGGAATTTCTGGAATAGCCATTGTATGGGAATCAAAAGAAAATAAAAGGAATTTCTAAATACCAGGGTGAGTCTAAATGAATAGTTCAATGAACATTTATTAAGTACCTCCTATGTACCTAGCATGCAACCTGGTGCTGGAGTTAAAGAGACAAATAAGATGTGGTTCAGCCATTGCTTTCCAGCAAGAAATTGTTGTAGTAAAAGAAAAGAAATATTCACAGGATGCTATGTGACAGAGGTAAGGAAACTACACCAGTTAAGGCAGGTATAGATAGGTGGAGGCAAGAAAAAGAGAAAAGTTGGACGAGAAAGGTACTAAAAGGTGATTTCTGGGCTGGGTTCTGAAGAATAAATAACTTCTGCCAATGTATGGGAGAAGGTATGGTGGGGAAAAGCAAAAGATGTTCTCTCTAGATGGAAGAGAATGTACAAGGGTGCATTCAGATAAGGTCTCTGAGAATGTATGTACTGCCAGAGTGTGGAATATGAGGCAGAAAACATCAGTGGTCACACACAGAAGATGTGTAGGTATCAGGTCAGTCTGAATATCTCCTGTAGATAATTTGCAAACACTGAAAGGCTATAGGCAGGGGCAAAGGGAGGAACAGAAGCATGGCATATTTAGAACACAGTTTATATAGTTTATTCTGGCAGCCATGTAGGAGAATGGTTGGGATTTGGCAAGAAGCAGTGATGATGAAAAGCAGGGGGAAAACTGAAAAATCCTAAGGAGACAACATGGGCAGAAACTGTTGGATTAATGTGGGAGGTCAAGAAAAGGGAGGCTATAAAAGTTACTTCCAGGTTTCTGGGTGGATGGAGTAATAATTAACTGAGATAGTGAGTACAAAAGAATAGATTACTGGCGAAAATGGTGAGTGTAACCTTGGACATATTGAATTTAAAGTAATGTAGGAAATCTACTTGGAGAAATCCACTAAGGGGTTAAGTATATGCGTCGAGAACATCAGAACATTATCTACCAGCAACAGTTTGTAATGGACTCAGCTGCATGGCTTTTTTCTAGGAAAGTTTTGGAGAAGGAGAGGGAAGAAGGCAAGGTTTGGAGATCAGAACATTTTTTGGCAGAAGAGGGCGCTCATGATAGCAGAGTGCTGGAAAGGGCAGTGGACTTCAGGCAAAGTAGGGAGTCAAGGCCAGATGTGGGCTAACAAAAGGTGTGAAGAGAGAAACCAGATTAGGGTAGATTCCTGTAGCTGGTGGGGTGAGGGAGAGGACAGAATTGACAGAGGAGGAGGATGAGCTCTGAGAGAGAAAGGTCTGACTCTGAGTCCTCAACAGTAGAGAATTCCAAGGGACAACCTGTGGTGTCCCTGCAGGTTTTTGAATGGATAAAGAAAAGTGTAGGAAGGTGTCAAAATATGAGGTGGGAGTGAACACTAAAGCTACCAAGAATGATGGTAGGAGAGCGGGGGAAGAAGACAAACTAATCTACTACAGAAATCACAGAATGAGGATTTTGAAAGAGAGAGAACAGAGTGATTTGTGTGTGCAGAGCAGTAGCCATTTGCTTCCCTGTAGAGTAGAAAAATATTGATGCTTCCATAAAAGAAGGGTACAGGAGACATGACATTATCGTAAACGTTATCCAAGACTGAACCCTGTATCTTCCCCCAATTGCTTTCTCTTCCCATATCTCCCATCCCTACCACTCCTATTATCATTTTCCTAGTCCAACTATTTTAAGGAACATCATCAACATTTTTTCCCCTTCATTCAACTTTCATTTTTAAAGAAATACGAAGTACTTCAACAATGTACTCATAATGGGCATACCCTTTCATCTACACTGCCATGAAATCTGATTTTCTTTTGGGCTCTTTCTTTTATTTCATTCCTATAACCATGCCCCAAGACCAGGTTCTCATCACTTCTCCATTGCAAAAATGAAATTTTATAGGCTCTCTCTATATCCAGTCTATTTCCCTTTCCACATCTGTCCTGCATTCCTTCAGACGCAATTTCCCCCAAACACTACTTCCATCCATCATATCATGACCTGTGACTGCTTGTTCCTAGGTCTACACCCTCCTCTTGCCTGGTTTCCAGGTCCTCCAAGATCTGTCTTAGATTCTTCATTCTGGTTTTAGCAGGGGCCCTCTAATCTGCCTAGACTGGTCTCACAGTTCTGCATCCATTTATATTTTTGCTCAAATCGTCATGTTTTCCTCCTAGAAAGCTATCCCTCTTGTCTGCAAATTCAACTCTGCCTATCCTTCAATGTCCACTCTATGGAATTTTCTGGAATGAAGGCAACTCATACTGATCTCTTGGCTAATCAGTATTTATGTGCTTTGGAACTAAATTCTTCTCCAATTGTTTAGTTTGTACCACTTTTCCAATCTAGGCTTAAGTTCCTTGAGTATGAGAACTCATGTCTTGGTTTTCTGAATACTTCTGAAAACTATTTTTTATATATAATAATATTCTTCAAATAGAATGATATCCTATACTTCTTGTCATCAATAAAGAATTTTCTAGTTGGGCTAGTCCACAACATTGTTAAAAATTAGAGCTTTTAGATACATAAAAATTTAGAAATGGAGTCTCAATTTGGGTCTAGATACAAAAAATTTTACACATGACAAAATTCTACCCTTAAACAAAAAAACCTTCCTGGATTTGTGTAATTTCTGTCTGTGAAATATCATTGTTTTCGCACCACCTGAATGTTCTCTCTCATTCTAAGAGAAAATTTCAGTTTTGAAGCAATAGGAAAGATATCCATGAAATTGATTCTCAAAGCAGTGGTCTCTAAACCATTTACTCAAAACGCTTGGCATTCTCATGGACAATTTCCTTCAATTTACATTAGATCATGTTTTGAACTAAAAGAACATAATTCCTCTTCTTGAGGGAATTAAACAGTATTGGCATTATCATTTAGGGCAGTACTTTCACTTACTGTGCAAGCCTTGTTATCCAGCTCCTACAACCATGCCACCATTTGGCCAACTCAGAAGTAGTACAATGCTGGGACGCCTGGGTGGCTCAGTTGGTTAAGCATCTGCCTTCAGCTCAGATCATGATCCCAGGGTCTGGGGATCGAGCCCCATGTTGGGCTCCCTGCTCAGTGGGGAGCCTACTTCTCCCTCTCCCTCTGCTGCTCCCCCTGCTTGTGCACTTTCTCTCTCAAACAAATAAATAAAATCTTTAAAAAAGGGTACAATGCCATGTTCTATGTATCTAGAGCCTCCACGAGGTAAAAGAGAAGTTCAGATTGTACTGCTGCCTCTTTAGGGATCCTTTTCTTCTTAAAAAAAAATCTTTATTATGGGAATTTTTAAATCCATACAAAAGCTGAGCAAATACTGTAATCAATTTCCCGGTACCGATCATCCAGCTTCAATAATGACCAGTCCATGGCTACTATTTTCCACTACATGCTATCTGTTACCCACACCCACATACCAACGGGTTATTTTGAAGCAAATGCCTGGTGTTATGTTATCTATAAACATTTTAGTACGTGTCTTAAAGATGAGGACCCATTTTAGGAAATAGAACCACAATACCATCATCACACCTAGAAAATTAGTAACAATGCCTCCACATCACCAAATACCTGGTGAGGGTTCAAGTTTCCCTGATAATCTCATAATATATATATTTTTTCAATGTACTTGTTTGAATCTGGACTCAAGGACATTGGATATGTTGAGCCCAAACCCAGAAAGCACCATAAATCTCTAAACTAAAACTTGTTTCTTGGTAGTAAAACTAATTTAGGAAAAAATAAAATCAGTTTGTGATCAGTAAGTACACATATCCATCCTGAGGCTTAGGATTTTAGGAGTAGCAACATTTGATTTGTTTGCACAGCACTTTGATGACACAGTACAAATGCAATAGGAGGAATGGACAGGCTGTCACGGACACCAAGCGCCCTGCTCATAAGTGTCACCTCTGTGATCCATGTCTGTGCGTCACGTGGAAATGACACTCTTTAGCAATGCACGTTCTCCTGCCTGTTCCTAAAAGGATTTGAGGCGACTAACCTGAAGCGTTATTATTTTGCTACAAGCATTATGAAAAATACTTACTGGTTTCCTATTCATTTCGTATTTTACTGATACTGTGATCGCTTGTTTTATCACTCATAGTGACACGTAAACAGAGCCTTTTGTATTTACGTTACATTTCCAAACTAAAATACAGACAGACTGTAAAAGCACTGGGCACATGAGTTCACACTATTTAGAAACTAATGCTAGAAACGTTTTATCTCTCTCTGTTTATCTGGCCCAGCTAGTACATTTTCAACTAATATTTGAGCACCACTGAAAACTTTTGAGAAAACCTCCTTTCCCTTTTCTCCTAATTATTTTCTCTGCTATTGCAAGAGTCAAATAGATTGCACACGAGGAGAAAGGACACGCCCTCCTCACCCCCAAACAAGACAAAATGTCACCTACCACTCATTTCCAGGAAGTATCTTGCATTCATTAGCATTCGGCCTTGAGGTTTCAGCTCTAACTGATTGAGAGAAGGAAAAAAAAAAAAAAGAAAGAAATATCAGTCAGAATGTGAAACAAGCGCTAAGTTTGATGACATAGTAACTGACAAGTGCAATGACAGCAGGAGATTTCCAACGTAGAGCCCAAGACTGCCGCCTCCTTACACTTCACTCAGAACGGTTATCATCAGAACATCCATGAATACAACCTTCCTTTTATTAAAACACCTCAGCAACTCATTACTTTTACTTGGATGTCAAAATTTCCATGAGGAAGAAACAAAATCCTAAAACAGTTTCTGTTTGATATCCTTGCTGCTTCTCATCTACATGGTTGTTAGTAGGGCAGATTCTGATCTTCACCACGACAAAAGAATCACGGACACTGGGACCAGCTAACTGGGGGGAACAGTAGGTCTTCTGGAAGGAAAGATGGATCCTGCTTTGAGGGTGCCTACCCACATGCCTCTAGGTTAACCAGGGTATGAAGTGGGAGCAGTGTTTTTCTTTCATAAGGAGAGACTGTTTCCTTGGGAAAGTGCTGGATGATCTACCAAGGGAAATTTTGATTAGATTAGTCCAAGAATGGATAAAAATACATATTTCAGTATCATTACATAGAAGAGACCAGAACAGTGTCACTGAAGGGATGATGCAGGATATCATGTGACGTGACATGGGGGAAAATGACAAATCCAAGATAACTTGACTACTATTGCTAACATATTAAACCATAGCACTAGAGCATTAGTATACTCAAAAGAATCAGAAGGTGAATTGAAGGTCACTATTGATCATTACACCTGTGGGTTAACGAGAATAACTGAGAAATAGTAAGAAACATCTGGTTGAACCCAGGACCAAAATTTGAATTGTGGTTAAATAATTTACTGGTTGTGTGACCTTGTGCATGTCACTAAGCCTTTCAGGATCTCTGCAAAGCTGACATAATAGCATCAAAGCATCACAACTATTAGAATTTTATGATAACATAAGCATTTACTGCTTGGTCAACTATAAATCCTCACACTAGCTTAAACAGATCAATGAGAAAAATGCTTTTAACATCAAGGATATACACCTTGTTCTCTGGTTTATGGAACAAGTAATAAAGATGAGGACAAAAAGGGAACTAGAAGAGCAAGAAATAACGGGCTCATTCCCAAGCGAAGTGGGAAAAATTGGTACCAGATGACCGCAAAGTTATCAATATTCGGGACTTAGTGGTGATGGACAAAACTGAACCAAAACTGCTGGAAAAACAGTATTCATAGGAAATCACATTGCATCATGCTTTTGAGAGCGAACAAGAGGTAATCATATGAACAGTCGAAACTTGGGAAAGCAGAAGGCAAGTCTCAGTGTGGTGTGTAGAAATTGGATGGAGTCTGTGGAGATGAAGGGCAAATTTCAGAAAATAGATATATTTTTTTGTGGGTACATCTTTTTTTTTCTTTTTATATTCAGTTAGCCAGCCTAAGTTTTTGATGTAGTGTTCAATGATTCATCAGTTGCATATAACACCCAGTGCTCATCACAACACGTGCCCTCCTTAATAACCATCACCAGGTTACCCCATCCCCTCACCCACCTCCCTTCTGTAACCCTCAGTTTGTTTCCTGGAGTCCAGAGTCTCTCATGGTTTGTCTCCCTCTCTGATTTCTTCCCATTCTGTTTTCCCTCCCTTCCCCTGTGGACATTTTTTAGATAGAGAAATTATTTTTAAGAAAGTGGATTTCAATAGAGCAAGGGGAAATCTAAGTCCAGAGCATCCTGTTGGCCCTTAAACACTATAAATGAAAGTAAACTAAGAAATATTCTTGGGAAAAAAGTTGTAAAATGTAAAAAGATTGCTTAAGTAAAATGAGGATCTGAAGGTCACCAAGTGCTTATGGCTAAATAACCCTAGATTACAAAAAAAAAAAAAAAAAGTAAAAACTTTGACAAGAATAAAATCAGAAAACACCTAAGCAAGAAATCGAATACAACTTAAAGAGATATAAATAGAAAACCAATCTGCTCATCAGTGAAGCCTAAACAAATAATTTAAAATTTAGTTATCCATTTAACTGAGAAGGAAATCAAATAGTATGCTATTTTTTTGTTTTAAAGATTTTATTTCTTAAGTAATCTCTACACCCAATGTGGGCTTGAACTCACAACCCCGAGATCCAGAGTCACACGCTCCACACACTGAGCCAGCCAGGCACCCCAAAAAGCATGCCACTCTTAAAAATTAGGGATTTGGTGACTCTTTTTTAAAAAATGAGGCAGAAAGCCGAAAATAAGTAGGGATGAGTGGAAAACCAGGTAACATTTGGTCTAATTAATCTCTTCTAGCTGAGCTAAGGGCTGGCATCTCCCACTCCCTGATTTGTGCAAACCTTTCCACATTGTGATGTTATCAGTTATTTAGCCTCTTCTACCTGCCTAGGCAGCCCCCCCAAAACAAGATCTGTTTCCATGATCGTTTCTCCAACCAGACACAGAAGTGTGCCACAGATACTGCTAGGCTATATTTACTAAACATGTTTAAGTGTGGGAACTTAAAAAAAAAACCTTGGTATATGTTTATCTTCAAAGATTACTTTACTGTCAACAGCAAAGATGTATATAAATATATACTCTCCTTAAAAGTACTGATTTTTTTTAGGTCAAAAATTTAAAAATGACACAAAAATCTAGTTGTTAGGTTTCCATCATTCCCGTTTTGAAACCAACTTCAAAAAATGTTCCGTATGGAGTTCTCAAAAATCTGAGTTATAGGAAATAAGAAGAGAAAGGTAAGATTCTCTCCTTTTGAATAAATGATAAAGCATTTGAAAACATTTTCTGGGTTGCAGATCATTTAAAAACAGTTTTTAACTGGTGTTTGTGGTTGTTTTGTTTTTTCATTTTGTGGACCCCAGAAATCTTCATGAGAATTTTTCATGCTTTTATATTTCACTCTTTCCTTTAACATTTCTAAACATTCACTATCCAAACAGTTATTAAGTTTTCAAAAACTTAGTGCAGCAACATGGATTGTGTGAGGTACTGTTTGGTACAAAGTGAGCTAAGTGAATAGTTATGGCTAAAAAAATTGATAGGGATTGGCAAAGTAGGGAGGAGGAAGACCAAACCTCACGTGGATCTTTGCTGGTCCTTTCCCTTATCTATCACCTTATCTAATCTAAGATATCTTATCAAGAGATCACATAGATATGATATCTCAACAAATAGTCAACAGCTAGGTTCCCAAATTAAGGGGAATTTGTGATATTTCTGAGCTTATGTTATAGATCAATAACAATTCTTCATAGCCTAAGAGACCTTCTTCATCTTACACAGGAGTCAAGATATTTGAATATGTCAGTATGTTTTACAGTGTACAACGAACATTCTCATTATCAAGCCATCAGTGAGTAAGTGGTAGGGAATCTGTTTACCCAAGACTAGTGTGTCATAATTTCAGGATGACACTGGAACTCTGCTCTAGTCTTCAGCGAGTGTGGTGCTTATCGCCTAGTGGTGTGAACACTTTAAAAGAAGCTCACAGCCTGGATATTTACCCATATCTCTGCCTTCCCATTGTTCTTCCTGCATCGCTCAGCCAGAGAGGAGAGCTCGACGGTAGTTTCGGATATTAGGTCCATGTTCTTGCCCTTCACAATGATCTGCATTACTCTTCCCTTGTTGATGTGGGCATCAAAAGTGCTGTCCCAGGGCGGGTACATGGTTGGCTTTTTCTGGATATACATTTGTCCATTCTCTAGGAACAGAAAGATATGGTCTCATTACTCCTTTAGCCAACCAACTCTGGGAAATAATTCAACTTGACAGTGGCACCTGCTCCCTCTGTTCTCTAGGACACATAATTCCATTGGGAAGTCAAAAGTAGCATGTAAAACAATTAGAGACAATATAGGACAGGATGAGACAGTCCCAAGGTCTATATATATGCAAGGTGAGACACTGAAACTTAAAAATCAGTCTGGTAATTTACCAAAGATACAAATGTAGGGATCCGAAGGGGTACGTGCACCCTGATGTTTATAGCAGCAATGTCCACAATAGCCAAACTGTGGAAAGAGCCAAGATGTCCATCGACAGATGAATGGATAAAGAAGATGTGGTATAC